GTGCCGTGGCTTCACTGCTCACAGCAACCTCCAACCCCACCACAACACCCGGTTATTTTTTGGTTGCAGACATTATTGTTGTTTGGTGGGCCTGGGCTGAATTCAAACCCTCCACCTTAGGTGTATGTGGCTGGCGCCTTAGCCGCTTGAGCCACAGGCGCCGAGCCAACCTCAAAGTCTTGAGCTTAAGAGATTCTCTTGCCTCAGCCTCCCAATTGGCTGGGACAACAGGTGCCCACCACAATGCCCTGCTTTTTTTTTTTTGTAGTTGTCGTTGTTTAGCAGGCCCAGGCCAGGTTCGAACCCACCAGCCTGGGCGAATGTGGCTGGCACCCTAACTGCTGAGCTATGGACGCTGAGCCAAAACTATATCTGCTTTAAGCCAGAGGCTGTGCACAGGGGGAGCTATGACCAACATAGAGAAAGACACTGGCTTCCAGAAGCTCCTGCCCATAGTTGGAGGAGGGGAGAGGAAAGACAGACAGTGAACATACAACAGCAGGGAAGTTACTGAACTTGGACTTTGTCCCTAACTATGAGATCTGAAATGACTAGGCCAGATGCTAGGGCTCAAGTGCCAGGAGGAGAGAGAAGGGTCTAGATGGGGGTTAAGGCTGGAGAGATGGGCAGGCTTCGGAGAGGAGGGGGAAGATGTGCAGGACACAGTGTCTGTTAACTATGCAGTCAACTCAGAGGCATCGGAACCTCTTCCTGGTTTGAGTCAACCACAAGCTCCAGCCAGGGCCAGCTCTGGCTCATGGTGAAGAGCTTCCCACTGAGGATCACCAAAATGCAAACTTCCCTGAGGACCCTGTCCTCAGCTCATTTACTCTTTATCTTCTTTTGTCATGGAAGTAAGGTCAGATTTACGACCTTACTTACCCTTGCCCAAGATCCCAGGATATCCAATCAAGGAGATTAAGAAAGAGGAGCTTTCAGGCGCCCCATGGATCCCGATCAAGAGAAGTGAATTCAGCACACTTTATAAAGGAGAATATCGCAAATCTCAAGTGTCCATAGAAGTATTCAACAATACCCAGGTCGGAAGCATTGGGTGAGTCATTTTATATGGTTCTCTCCATATCCATATAGATCAATAGTTACTATCACCCCCCAAGGGGAGAGGCGTATTGTCACCATTTTCAGGTGGGGAAACCTGGGCCTCAAAGGGTTAAATCACCTGCCTTCTGCTATTAAAAAGCATAGTCTTGATGCCTTGATTTTAAAGTCTTCTGTCCTTTATCCATGTATTTATGTATTTTTAAAAGTTTGTTCCTTGGGTGGCGCCCTCAGTGAGTAGGGCACCGGCCCTATATACAGAGGGTGGTGAGTTCGAACCTGGCCCTGGCCAAACTGCAAAAAAAAGAGCTGGGCATTGTGGTGGGTACCTGTAGTCCCAGCTACTCAGGAGGCTGAAGCAAGAGAATCGCCTAAGCCCAGGAGCTGGAGATTGCTGTGACGCCACAGCACTCTACTGAGGGTGACAAAGTGAGACTCTATCTCTAAAAAAAAAATTAATAAATAAAATAAAAGTTTGTTCTCTATCAGTCCACAGACAATAATTCTAGCAGGCTTTGTTTGCACATCTTCTTGTAAAATGGGGTCATGCTTTTTTAATTTTCATAACTAGTCATGTGATGTACCCTTTGCCCACTTTCCTTACTCTTTTCACTCAGCATCACGGGACACATTCTATACCTGGAATCTTTTCCTACTGTTTGCCATCCATGGTGTAGATCCACATTTGGCCTATTTTTCCAACAATGGAATCTGGTCTATTTCCAGCAATGGAACTCAGTCTGCTTCCAACTTTCCCCTACTAAAAATAATGCTGCATAGATCTCCCTTTATGGATCTATATGAGAATTCTTTGGGATATAGCGCCAGGAGAGAATATGGATCATACATATAGTATGTATGTATTAAATTAACTAAGAAATACCAGGCAGCTCCTCTAAATGCCTACACTTCCACCGGCAGTGCAAAAGGGCCCCTGTACCACACATCTCCACCTACTCTTGGTGTTGCCCAGCTTTCTAACTTGTTTTATCCTTCTCGTTATAAAATTATTACTACCTTAGCTGGGTGCGGTAGCTCACGTCTATAATCCTAGCTCTCTGGGAGGCCAAGGTGGGTGGATTGCTTCAGCTCAGGAGTTCGAGACCAGCCTGAGCAAGAGTGAGACCCCCGTCTCTAAAATAGTCAGGCCGGGGCGGCACCTGTGGCTCAAAGGAGTAGGGCACCTGCCCCATATGCTGGAGGTGGCAGGTTCAAAATCAGCCCCCGCCAAAAACTGCAAAAAAATTAAATAAATAAATTGTCAGGCCTTGTGGCAGGCATCTGTAGTCCCAGCTACTTGGGAGGCTGAGACAAGAGGATCTTTTGAGCCCAAGAGTTTGAGGTTGCTATGAGCTAAGATGCCACGGCACTCTACCCATGGCGACAGATTCTGTCTCAAAAAAAAAAAAAAACAAAAAACAACTAAGTCTATGAGGCTGTATGAACAGGTATTAGCAAGCACCTTTACTATCTCACAGACCCTTAGGGACTAATTCTGCTGCCATGTACATCTGAGGGGTCCACATGCTGCCATCAGTAGTCAAGGATGTCACCACACTAATTTTCCTCCCCAGGAGATGCTGACAATCTCCCCCCCCCATATACACAGGGCCACTACACTAAATATTCTCTAAGGAATCTTCCACTTCTTAAATCTGAATTTCCTCTTTTATTCTCGTAGACTAGTGAGGAGTTATTTCAAGGATGAGATTGAAACCATGAAGAAATTTACTTCTCCCAATGTCCTGCACATATTTGGGATTTGCATTGATGAAACAAGTAAGAGGTGCTCCTGGGGCGGAGAAAGGTTTGGAGGACCTGGAATATACCTTCTGTGTTTTAGTGTGTTGCATTTTTTTAAAGAGCCGCAGAAAAGGTGGAGTCTACACACTGTGATTATTAGCAATGTTCTTTTTTTTTTTGCATCCTAAGATGCATGTTTCCATCTTCTTTCAGGAAAGCAGGGCTGAAGCCTGAGGGTTATTTTGCACTAATGTGGCCACTTCTTTCAGTCCACAAGGGTGTGTGTTCAGGTGCCAGCATGGATGAGAGGTGCATTTTGTTGCTACAAAACATTATACTGCCCGGGTGCAGTGGCTCACCTGTAATCCTAGCACTCTGGGAAGCAGGCAGATGGTTTGAGCTCAGGAGTTCGAGACCAGCCTGAGCAAGAGTGAGACCCCACATTTACTAAAAATAGAAAAGCTAGCTGGGTGTTAAATGGCCTTGTAGTCCCAGCTACTTGGGAGGCTGAAGCAATAGCATTGCTCAAGCCCAAGAGGTTGAGGTTGCTATAAGTTGTAATGATGTCATGGAACTTGACCCAGGATGACAAAATGAGACTCTATCCTAAAAATAAAATAAAATAAAATATAAACCACCTGACCCAAACCAGGAAAACACCCTTAGTCACCTACACCCCTAGTGGAGACCAAATCTAAAATCAAAAACAAGTTGCCCTTTTACCAAGATCCTGGTGTGTCAGGTTCTTTATTTTTACTTTTTAATGTGGCTACATTTTCTCTTGCAGCATGACCTCTCCTGCTACTCTTACGTACAGAGAGGACAGAGCAACTCCCATCTTATCCGCTCTGGAAGTTTCTCCACAGACTTAGGACAACCTGATTTCAGAGCTTAGAATCCCAGTCTACAGGCAAGCTTTCAGTGAGATGTATTCTCTGGGTGACCGCTGAGGTGGCTGACTCACACTCATTGTGTATCGGTTTTGCATTTCAGATCCATGAACTAAAACTTGACTTCTTCTTTCTTTCTTATTTTTTATTTTTTATTTTTCCCCTCCCAGTATATGGGGTGGGAGTCCTACTTCCTGAGCCACAGGCGCCGCCCTCTTTTTTTATTTTTTAAAGATAGAGTCTCACTTTCTTGCCCCTGGTAGAGTGCTGTGGCATCATAGCTCAGCAACCTCCAACTCCTGGGCTTCAGTCCTCTTGCCTCAACCTTCTGAGTGGCTGGGATTATAGGCATGTACCATTATATTTGAATAACATTTTTTACAGGGATAAGGTTTCACTGTGTTATCCCGGCTAGTCTTGAACTCTTGGGGTCAAGTGATTTCCCTGCCTCATTCTCCTCAAGTGCTGTGATTAATTCTTGATCCACTGTGCTGGGCTAATCACTTTATTTCTTTTTCTTTTTATTATTTTTTTTGCAGTGTCACTTTGTTGCCCTCAGTAGAGTACCTCATAACAACCTCACACTTGGGCTCAAGCCATCCTCTTGCCTCAGCCTGGCAAGTAGCTAGGACTACAGGTGCCCGCCATAATGCCTGGCTATTTTTAGAGACCGGGTCTAACTCTTGCTCAGGCTGGTCTCAAACTCCTGAGCTCAGGCGCGATCCACCTGCCTCAGCCTTCCAGAGTGCTGGGATTATGGGCGTAAGCTTGTGTGCCTTGCCTGAAACTCGACTTCTTGTCTGAGTTCCCCTCACCAGCCCTGCCACCTGTGCACCATTTATTCCTTGTGAACATAGTAGACACATTTCCTGCCCTCTTGGATCTTATCGTTGAGTGGGGAAGACATTACCCAAACAACTACTCAGACAAATGTAGAATTAAAACATGCCAGACACACTGGCGGTGCCCATGGCTCAGTGGGCAGGGTGCTGGCCACGTACGCTGAAGCCGGCAGGTTCAAACCCAGCCCAGACCAGCTAAAACAACAATGACAACTGCAACAAAAAAATAGATGGGCATTGTGGCTGGTGCCTGTAGTCCCGGCTACTTGGGAGGCTGAAGCAAGAGAATCACTTGAGTCCAAGGGTTTGAGGTTGCTGTGAGCTATGACAGCACGGCACTCTACCCAGGGTGACAGCTTGAGACAAAAAAAGAAAAAAGCCAAACACTATGTAGAAGATGATGGACATTCTAGGGGTATTTGAGCCTTTCCAGGAGATCAAGGAGCAAACTATGTGGGTTGGTGTTGGAGGAGAATGAGACTCACAGCAGACCCAAGTCTATCTCTGCACAGGAGGAGAGGGGGGCTGCAGACAGTAGGAGCTCTGGGTGGGGCTGGGTCTTCATGGTGTCTGGCTCCTTCCTTCAGTGGCTCCTCCTCAATTCTCCCTCGTCATGGAGTACTGTGAACTTGGGACCCTGAGGGAACTGTTGGATGAAGAAAAGAACCTTGAGTTCGCTGTGCGTATCTTGCTAGTCCAGGAGGCAGCCATGGGCTTATACAGGTACCAGACGGGGTAAAGGGCACTGAAGGGCTGGGTGAATCTGTACACTACTGATAATCCCAGAGGTTAAGAGAGAATAGGCCAGGAGCCCCAGGCAGCCTCCCTTCCATACAATGTTCTACTTTCTACTTTTTACTCTGATCACAGATAAGAGGGGGGGAAGGAGGTTTAACTAGTGAGCAAGAGCTTATAGAATTAAAGGTTGAATTTAGTGTCCACCTCATTCTTTCTTGTAGAGCTGGACAGGCCCTAATCTTAGAGCAGCCAGATTTAACAAATAAACATATAACATAGCCGGCAGTGCCCGTAGCTCAGTGGGTAGGGTGCCAGCCACATACACCGAGGCTGGCAGGTTCGAGCCTGGCCTGGGCCTGCTAAACAACAATGACAACTGCCACCAAAAAACAGCCAGGCATTGTGGCAGGTGCCTGTAGTCCCAGCTACTCGGGAGGCTGAGGCAAAAGAATTGCTTAAGCCCAAGAGTGTGAGGTTGCTGTGAGCTGTGACATCACGGCACTCTACTAAGGGTGACATAATGAGACTCTGTCTCTCTCTCTCTCTCTATATATATATAACATAGCCAGTAAAATTTGGATTTTAGATAGGTAACGAATAATTTTTTAGGATAACTATATCCTAACTATTCCATAAGATATACACTAATTTCAGATAAGCAATTTTTTTTTGGTATAACTATGTTTCATGCAATTTGGGGACATACACTAAAAAACAGTATTCATTATTTATCTGAAACTGAGATTTAACAGAGTATACTGTATTTTATTTGGCAACTTTACTCTCATGCAGAATCTAGGGGTCCTAAAGGACCTTTCTTAAAACTAACTCCTCCTAAGGCAGGAGGATTTAAAACTAACTCCCAAATCACCTGCAGGGTTTTCACCATATCCACAATACCAACAGTGTTATTTACTCAACATTTTCTTTTAAATCGACTCACTATAAAAAATCTAAAGGAAGTTTTTAAAGGCAAGTGCCCGTAATCTTAACTCTCTGGGATGCTAAGGCAGAAGGATTGCCTGAGGTCAGGAGTTCAAGACTGCTCTGAACAGTGGGACCTGTCGGAAAACGGAAAAACTTATCCAGGGATTGTAGCAGGTGCCTATAGTCCCAGCTACTTGGGAGGCTGGGGCAGGAGGATCACTTGAGCCCAAGAGTTGGCGGTTGCAGTAGCTGTAATGATGCCACAGTACTCTAGCCCAGGCAACAAACCCTGTAAGAAAGGACAGAGGAGAGGGAGAGGGAGAAGAGTTAGTTTCTAAAAAGGACCCACTTGTGCAACACATCTTAGCTCTGCTGTATACTCCCAGAGCACAACTGTCAACCCTGGCCTTTGCCCCGCTGTCCATGGGCGGCCACCCGTGAGGAAAGCATGGCACTGAGCAGCCTCATTATCCCAGTCATGACTGTGAAGCCTCCCAAGATAGTCTGGGCCAAGGTCATTAATGCCCTGTCTTTGGTTGTGTCAGCCTACACCATTCGGAGGTTCCTAAACTCCATGAAAACATCACCAGCGAGAACTTCCTGGTAACTGGACGCTACCAAGTGAAAGTGAGTACCTTTCAGGGTGTTCTTTGGGTCAAACCTGCATGACTGTTTGGTGTTGGGAGAGGGAAACAAGTGCCTCAGAAAGGCTATGCCTGTTTCTTTCTCACCTCAATTTTAATTTTATTTATTCTTTTGAGACAGAGTCATAGCTCACAGCAACCTCAAACTCTTGGGCTCAAGCGATTCTCTTGCTTCAGCCTCCCAAGTAGCTGGGACTGCAGGCACCGGCCACAACGCCCAGCTGTTTTTAGAGACAGGGGTCTCATTCTAGCTCAGGCTAGTCTTGAACTCCTCAGCTCGGGCCATCTGCCTGCCTTAGCCTCCTGAGTGCTGGGATTACAGGCATAAGCCACCATGCCCGTCCTCCATGTCATTTTTTCATCTGTTTCTAGGAGAAAGCTAGCCACATGGTGGCTCCCTGCATGAACCCCTCTGCACCCTCAGAGCTCAGTCTTTGACTGAGAACCCCTGTGTCTAACACAGTAATACTAGCAACCACTGCAACTTACCAAGTCTTTCAAGGGCTTAATAACCATTATCTCAGCTCGGCACCTATAGCTCAACCAGCTAAGGTGCCAGCCACGTACACCTAAGGTGGCGGGTTCGAATCCCCAGCCCGGACCTGCCAAACAACAATGACGGCTGCGACCAAAAAAGCCAGGCGTTGTGGCAGGCGCCTGTGGTCCCAGCTACTTGGGAGGCTGAGGCAGGAGACTCGCTTGAGCCCAGGAGTTGGAGGTTGCTGTGAGCTGTGATGCCATGGCACTCTACCCAGGGGGACAGCTTGAGGCTCTGTCTAAAAAAAAAAAAAAAAAAAAAAAAAAACATTATCCCAAGTAATCCTCACTACCCATTTTATAGAGGAGAAATCTTTCTTTGTGTTTCTTTTGGTGACTGAACTATAACAAGGTGAACCCATAATGTTAACCAATAGAGTAGCCACACAAATGGAAGGCAGTATTGGAAATAAATCTATAAGGGAAAAAGTCAATTCTCTGGCAATTGGAGCACCAACCCCTCCCACCCAACATCTCGCTGTTACTTTTTGTCTCTAAGTCACCTCTTTATCTAGCTTGCAGGATTTGCATTCACGAAAACAAAGACTTCTATCAGTCAGAAAACTAAGAGAAAAGAGCGAAAGAGAGTCAATTCAGAGGCATATTTCTCACCTCAGAGGCTAGAAAATCTTTTTTGTAAATACGATGTACAAGTTGAAATATACAGGTAGGTTAATGTTCTTTTGCAGATTCTAACTCAGATGAGCAATATAGGCAAGCCCATGTCAAATTCTTCCTCCAGGGACCATCTTAACTTTGTTGAATGAATTTGAGTGGCAAAGCGCCCATAACACAGTGGTTACAGCGCCAGCCACGTACACCGAGGGTGGCGGGTTCGAACCCAGCCCAGGCTAACCAGCTAAACAGCAATGACAACTGCAACAAAAAACAGCCAGGCATTGTTGCAGGTGCCTGTAGTCTTGGGAGGCTGAGGCAAGAGAATTGCTTAAGCCCAAGAGTTGGAGGTTGCTGTGAGCTGTGATACCACGGTACTCTACTGAGGGCAACGTAGTGAGACTCTGTCTCAAAAAAGAAAAAAAGAATTTGAGTGGCATCAGAAAATACACTGAGTTTTCTGGAAATGGTGTGGGGCAGGGGAAAAGGAAAAACTGTTATGGTTGTTTAGTTTCTTGTTTTGTTTTTTTTTTTTAGCTTTGGAATCGTCCTCTGGGAAATCGTCACTGGAAAGATTCCATTTGAAGGTGAAGAATGTGAAGGCTGATTCAGCGGGTGCTGGGATTGGGTCCTCTTCCGATAAATTTAGAAATTCCCTAGGCATTGAGTTTTCCAATCTGGAAACTGCTTGGGCTGGTCCATGGGATCAGTGGAAACTCTCGTTTCCATACTTAAAGTCCCTGGGTCTGATGTCGGCCATCGGCATCCAGACAGATGTGCAAGTCCCAGATGAATTTTTTTTGTTTGTTTGTTTTTTTTTTTTTTTTTGAGACAGAGCCTCAAGCTGTCCCCCTGGGTAGAGTGCCGTGGCATTACAGCTCACAGCAACCTCCAACTCCTGGGCTCAAGCGAGTCTCCTGCCTCCGCCTCCCAAGTAGCTAGGACCACAGGCGCCCGCCACAACGCCCGGCTATTTTTTGGTTGCAGCCGTCATTGTTGTTTGGCGGGTCCGGGCTGGGGATTCGAACCCGCCACCTTAGGTGTACGTGGCTGGCGCCTTAGCCGGTTGAGCTATAGGCGCCGAGCCCCCAGATGAATTTTTAAAGCTACCATCCTGTTATTTCCATGCCAGGACATGATTTTAAGAAGATCCGCCAGTTAGTGGTTGAGGACCGGAAGCAGGAGCCATTGGGTGAAGACTGCCCTCTAGTGCTGCAGGAGATCATTGACAAGTGCAGGGCCTATGAGCCTTCTGAGCGGCCCTCCATGGATGGTAAGGTTTCTTCTGGCATAAAAAGCATGAACCTTGGCTTGGCACCTGTAGCTCAGTGCCTAGGGTGCCAGCCACATACACTGGAGCTGGTGGGTTCAAATCCAGCCTGGGCCTGCCAAACAACAATAACAAGTATAACCAAAAAATAGCCAGGTGTCATGGCAGGTGCTTGTAGTCCCAGCTACTTGGGAGGCTGAGGCAAGAGAATCACATATGGCTCAAGCGGCTAAGGCGCCAGCCACATACACCTGAGCTGGTGGGTTCAAATCCAGCCCTGGGCCCACCAAACAACAATGACGGCTGCAACCAAAAAAATAGCCAGGCATTGTGGCAGGCACCTGTAGTCCCAGCTACTTGGGAGGTGGAGGCAGGAGAATCACTTGAGTCCAGGAGTTGGAGGTTGCTGTGAGCTGTGATGCTATGGCCCTCTACCCAGGGTGGCATAGTGAGACAGAAAGAAATATTTCCTTTTCTCAAGCTCCAAAGCAATAGTTTGTATCAAAGTGATTTTACCCTCCAAGGGACATTGGTCATGTCTGAAGATATTTTTGGTTGTCACAAATCTGGAAAGATAGGATGAGGCACGCTACTGGCATCTAGTAATAAAGGACAGGGATGGCACTCAGCATCCTGATGGTACAAAGCATAACACTGCCTTTCACAACAGGAATATCCAACCCAAATGTCAATAATGCAGGGCTTCCGAAACTCTGCCCTAAGGGCATTGCTTAATCTAAAGTGGTTTGGAAAGGCAAATTATTTTTCTCCAGCCTATTTCCTTCCTTTCTTTTTGTCCATATTTTTCTTTCTTTTTAAAAATTATTTACCTGAGGGCATTGGCTCCTGCCTGTAATCCTAGCACTCTGGAACACTGAGGTAGGTGGATCCCTTGAGCTCATGAGTTGGAGACCCTCCCGAGGAAGAGTGAGACCCCATCTCTCCTAAAAATAGAAGGACTAGCTGGGCATTGTGGCAGGTGCCTAGAGTCCCAACTACTTGGGAGGCTGAGGAAAGAGGATCTCTTGAGCCCAAGAGTTTGAGGTTGCTGTAAGCTATAATGCCACAGCACTCTCCTGAGGGCAACAAAGTAAACTGTGTCTCAAAAGAGAGAGAGGGGATCTTTCTATGTTACTCAGGCTGGAGTGCAATGTCCATTCACAGAGCACTCTGCAGTCTTGAATTGCTGTGATCCACTTGCTTCAGCCTCCCACGTAGCTACCATGTTTCCCCGAAAATAAGACACTGCCTTATATTTATTTTTTCTCAAGAAGACCTAGGGCTTACTTTCAGGGAATGTCTTTTTTTTTTTTCTAAGACAGGAACCTCAAGCTGTCCCCCTGGGTAGAGTGCTGTGGCATCACAGCTCACGGCAACCTCCAACTTCTGGGCTCAAGTGAGTCTCCTGCCTCAGCCTCCCAAGTAGCTGGGACCACAGGCACCTGCCACAATACCCAGCTATTTTTTGGTTGCAGCTGTCATTGTTGTTTGGCAGGCCCGGGCTGGATTCGAACCCGCCACCTTGGGTGTACGTGGCTGGCGCCTTAGCCACTTGAGCCACAGGCGCCAAGCCGGGATGTCTTATTTTTAAGGTATTCCAGTCTTCCTTACCACTGCGCCAAGATGCATGGTGTGGCTATGCAGATACACCACATAGCCACACCCATTACTAGGTCTTATTATCGGGGTAGGGCTTATATTTAACAAATGCATAGAAATCCTGCTAGGGCTTATTTTGGGGGTATTTTCGGGAAAACACAGTAGGATGACAAGTATGTACCACAACACCAGGCTCTCTCTTTCTTTCTTTCTTATTATTTTTGTTTCTTCTTCTTTCCCTCCCTCCCTATCTTCTTTCTTTCCTTCCTTCTCTCCTTTTTTCAAGATCCTTGGTTTATTTCCTTGACTCAGATTTTTATCTCGTTATGTCATCAGCTGCTTCTCTGAAGCTTCATTCCCCAGTGTCTCCCTCCCTGGGAGTAACTCCCTCCCCTACTCTAGTTCCAAATCTCCCAGACGTTCCACAAAGTCCAGACAAAAGAGAGAGTTCACATGCAGCATCCCTGGATTGGAGAAGCGATTCCCCTGAAGTTGTGACAAAGCTCAAAAGACCCAAATACAGTAGCCCGCATAGCATATGGCTAGGAGGAGTGAGAGTTCTAAGAAATACCTGTATAGCTCAATAATGGAACTCCTTGGTGAAAAGGGCATGGAGAGGGATTTAGCTCTCCTAACAAGCATGAGAGCTCGTGAGATGAGAGCATTGGTGAATTGGCAGTCTCTACACCTGTGGTGTTGAGCGGCACGAGATCAGCCTTATATTAGGCTGCAGGAGAAGGCAGTTGGAGGGCATGTGCATTCTATCACGGACCTGCTTACTGTGACTCTGTCTCCTCTCCTGCCTGCAGAACATGGCATCTCTCTCCTGAAGATTACCAAGCTCTGCTAAAGACTAAGATCTATCTTTCTAAGAAGACTGCCTCCCTCAAAGACTCTCTCTCTCTCTCTCCTGCTAAGGCACCTAAGAGACCTGAGCAAAGTAGCTTAGCGGTCTGCGTCTAGAACCTAGTTAAGCTGGGCCCAAGACCTGGCCAGTCCCAGGGCCTGACACGCAGTGGCAGGAGTGGAATGTGTCACCCAAAATTATTTTTTTCTTATCTTTATCATGATATGGATGATACTACCGCAGTACATAAAATATATATGTGCAGTTAAAATAGCAAAATAAAAGAATACCACATAGCCACACTTCATTAAGAAATAGAACATTGCCACTTGCTCGAAGCTTCCTGAGGAATTGGCCCTTGGGGTTTGTCTCCTTCAACACTTTTGTCTTCTTCTTCCCTCTTGTACTAGGCTCCCTTGCACCCCAATGTCCTCTTGGTATTAGAGAACATAATACCAGAGACTAATTCACACTATGATGTAAGTTTGCCCCTCCTGTGAAGTTTTAAAGGTAAATCAAGTAGAACTTCTTATCACAAAGGCATAAGTGCAAATGGTAATTGACTAGTTCGACACCAGTCAGACTGAGGAGGATGCAGTTTCCACTCTATTGTGTAGTCAGAAATATCTTTATGTTTTTAGCTTAGCTCTTACCTCCCTTCTTTTACCTAAATTTCTGTTTTTTCATCCACAGAAATCCTAAAGAAACTGTCTACCATTACTGGAGAGTATCAAAACCAAACCCCAGGCTCAGCACCTGTAGCTCAGCGGCTAGGGCACCAGCCACATACACCGGAACTGGCAGATTCGAACCCAGCCAAGGCTGCCAAACAACAATGACAACTGCAACCAAAAAATAGCCGGGCATTATGGCAGGCACCTGTTGTCCCAGCTACTTGGGAGGCTGAGGCAAGAGAATCACTTAAGCCCAAGAGTTTGAGGTTGCAGTGAGCTGTGACGCCACGGCACTCTACCGAGGGTGACATAGTGAGACTCTGTCTCAAAGGAAAAGGAGAGAAAAAAATAAAAAAAAACTGAACCCCAACCTGAGTAAGAGCAAGACCTCGTCTCTACTAAGAACAGAAAAATTGGCTCAGCGCCTGTGGCTCAAGTGGCTAAGGTGCCAGCCATGTACACCCAAGGTGGCGAGTTCGAATCTAGCCCGGGTCCGCCAAACAACGACGGCTGCAACCAAAAAATAGCCAGGCGTTGTGGCGGGCGCCTGTGGTCCCAGCTACTTGGGAGGCTGAGGCA